TCGGACCTCACTACTAGAGTAACATCTGCTTTACCATTAAGGGTTAAGCATAATGCACCAATAGCACCTACTCCGCCAGATCCAACAACAAGAACCTTGGGTTTACTTTCAGACATTATAAAGTTGAAGAAAAAATTGGCCTCATCGCCTTTTGTTCGACGATGCTCGTGAATCTGAAATGCAACAATTTTTTGTGGGATACGAGCCGACCTTCTGCATTATTTTTGTATTCCAACAAGTATTGTCTCGTGACGTTTAGTAGCTAATTGACCATTGAAATACAAACAAGTTATGAATAACCTTTATATATCAGCAAAATATCCCTATATTGACATTCTTTGATTCAAAATAATCACTTGCAAGTAACTTAGCAATTTATTTTAATATAGAATGTATTCTAAGGTGCAAAAGTAGATGTCAGATAAGACAAAGGTATACATTTCAAGCAGAATAACCTAGTTCGACTAATTATATCACATAATACCATGCCCAAAGATATGGGAGAGAATTTGAGAGAGAAATGACGTTCAGACAAGTTTGTCTTCTGGTATTGATAAATATATTCATTCTATATGGTGCAGTGGATAATTTATAAGTTCGATATATAAGAGTCTATTTTTTGAGTAAATCTGGATAAGAATCCGAGTTTATGCTTTTATATTCGTTTTCATCTATTTTGATTATGCCCTTTTCTTCTTTAATTCTAAACTGAACCATTGTTAATAAGGTATATAANGTTCGTAATATTGGTGTCTCTACTCCATTTGCCTCTGCGATCTTTAAAGGGTTACCTAAAATAACTTCCAACTCAAATAATTGTTTCTTTCTTGCATCAACACACATTGAAGGACTATAAAACAAGCCATCACCTATATGAATGAATTTTTCAATAGTTTCGGGCGATATTTCAATACCCTCACTAGCGGCAATTGCTATAACCTCCCTCATGGCAGGCCTAAAAAGTTCATTATTTGCACCTGCAATTTGACATCTGCTTATATCTAAATTGACTACTGTAGTGGTAGTATTAAGAACAGAATTGTATACTAATTTTTCCCATCTTGTCTTTTGAACATTTTCATCGATAATAACTCGGTTATACTTTTCGTTGCCGTAAATTCTAGTAAATTCATTAATTGCAAATTGTTCTTTCTCGGCATGGTTCTCAATATT